GGAAGGAAGGAAGGAAGGAAGGAAGGAAGGAAGGAAGGAAGGAAGGAAGGAAGGAAGGAAGGAAGGAATTCCTTTTTCTGTACTTTACCTGTGAGACCAGGGAAATAGTGTGAAACCAAACTGTAGAGTTCAGCAAAAAAAAAATAAAAATAAAAAAACACTCACTTGTCTCCAAATGACCTTCTCCAAAATTCGGCAGCATCGGCTTTGGTAATCCGGAAGTTGTCTCCCTGAAACAGGCCATTAGGGAAGATGGCTTTTAGCTCGGCCAGCATGTGACTGAAGATCAGGGACAACTTGGTGAGGTTCCTCCTGAGGGAGACGCAACAAAAACAAAAGACCAGTCAGTCCAGAAGTCAGACAGCAAAGAAAGGACACAATCTCAACCAGGACAGAATTTTTATTTTAATTTTTTTTGAGAGGTAGGGGGCGGAGTGAAAGAAAAGATGAGGCAACAACTGAAAATAGCTTGAAGCAAGTGAATATTTTAGAAACATGAACCCGTTTTATAATTAAAAAGAGCTACATTAACCAACATTTTATTGAGCAGAACAAAACACATTTAGAGAACGAAGGAGGAAACGCTCGATAAAAATCAGTGCGTCAGAGGAAGGATGGACCTTTACTGGTATTGCTTTTCTGAGAAACACAGGAACTTGGTGCGATTGTGACACAGCAATCTGTCCGTTATCTTACTTTCAAGCGGTTTTACTTCATGTTTTTTCAAGTTGAACAACTGCAACATAGAAAAAAACAAACCCAACACTTTACTGCAGGCTCCATTTAGCAAGCGAATATTTGGAGAACTGAGAAGTTCTATTTTAAGCATCGCAGGTGCACTTCAATGCATCAAAATAAAAACCCGAGTTCATAATCTGAGCCTTGTCCACATATAGCAGGATATTTGGGAAAAACGAATTTATACAGCTTTATGCATTATATATCACTTAAAATGAATGATCCTGAAAAGTCCAGCTGAAGCAGAGATTATTAAATGCTCGAGCATTGTGGTTGTTTTGAAGGATTCTGATTGGCTGACAAGTTTTAGTTTTGTGGTACACTGCCCTCTATGGCACATTAAAAAAAAAAAAAAAAAACTGTAGCTGCAATGGGCTGGGGTTTAGAGATGCAAATCTTCAAGTCTTTAGTAATTTTATGGTAACAGATCGATTTGGAAATAATTTTTGATTCAAAAACTTTTTTTTCCTATTCCAATAGATTTTCAAATTAAAAGCTGTTCAAAAAGTTACTAAATAAGCTAATTATTTATTGGATGTGTTCCCTGACCACCTGTTTGCCACATATATATTACATATTCTGTTGATGACTGCTGCTCAGTGGAACAGTGGGCAGCGAAAAGGTTCTGGGTTCGATTCCCGGGGGGCTTTCTGCATGTTCTCCCTGAGCATGCCTGGGTTCTCTCCGGGTACTCCAGCTTCCTCCCACAGTCCAAAAAATGACTGTTAGGTTAATTGGCTTCACTAAATTCTCCTTAGGTGTGAGTGTGTGTGTGAATGGTTGTTTGTCCCGTTTGTCTCTGTGTTGCCCTGCGATGGACTGGCAACCTGTCCAGGGTGGACCCCGCCCCTCGCCCGTAGACAGCTGGAGATAGGCACCAGCAGCCCTCGCCATCCCAGCTGGGATAAGCGTTACAGAAAATGAATGGATGAATGGATGTCAACGATTGCAAGAAAAAATGAAGACTGACCCTCCTACGATCTCTCACTGGATCCAGAAAGTAAAACATAAAGTCTGACGATCATGGTTTAATGATAACAAAAAACCCAAATCAAGTTTCTGAATAAAACCTATATTAGATGAGACCAAATGAAAAAAATATATAATCTAGAAACGTTGGCCAACGGAGCAGCATGTCCATAGAGTCTAAACAGCATCTACTGCTGTGGGGTTTTGTGCCTGTCCTGGTTAATGGCTAAGATTACAGGGCCCAAATCAGCCTCAACTGTGGAAAATCCACACTGGACTTCAAACTCTCTACTTTTCCTCTGCAACCTTTCATACCTAAGGAGCCATTTTGCCCCGAGACTGGTCCAAGAAAAGTCGCTTAGAGCCGCAAAAATATTGTGACTTTTTAATAAAACAAAACCTAATATTTTTAGTAAATTATCCCTCATAGGAAATGTGTTGCCATTTAAGACAAAATACTGTATATTTGTGTTTTAAGCTTTTAAAATAATTGTAAAACATAATTTCTAAGTTTATTAAAAGAAAATAGCTCTAAAAACATATTTCTTTGTTCTTTACATGCCACTCTGTTGTAAAAATTCAATTCAAATACTCTTTATAGAAACCCCTAAAGCGTCTAAGACAGGTATTTGTCATAATACATTAATTAGTTCTTAGTATCCCTTCTAGCCACTATTAAGAGCCATTGGTGAGGGTCCAAAGAGCCACATGTGGTTCTGGGGCCGCAGGTTGCAGACCCCTGCTCTAGACTCTTGGATCTTCATTTTCCCACAAAATCCCTCCTTTGCATTTAATTTTCCCATTTCAAACACAGGTTGAACTCCTCTAACCTGGTCTCTGGAGTTTCAGGAGTTTCCTAACACCTGACTTGTAGGATGTGCTGCGGCGGCTCTAGAACAGAGGCCACGGATTAGTGGACCACGGTCCGGATGCGAACACACTTGCTGGCTAATCCAGATCCAACCTGGTTTTAAAACATTTAGAAATCACTGCATTTTTTCCAACGGCAGTGTCTAATTTC